GGGGTGGCAGATAAAATTCAAGATAAAGGCAATGGGCGTTTGGCTATTGATCACTACCATCAGTGGAAGGTATGTTTATTCCAACTTGAACGTTTGATGGGCCCTTTTTTGTAAATTCTAAAATATACGTAAATTAAAAATGGATTTTAATTGTATTTTTGAAACACCGGACACCATATAGTTAGAACGTCATATACTTAGTTTCCAACGATTCTAACTGTAACGTGCAGATTGAAACTGTGTTCTAACAACTTTAATTAAGTGCAAAATTAAAATAACAAATTAAAATTTGAAAACCAAGTAAACGTTGTAAATCCCGAACAAAAACATTCCACATCCCCATGCCATGGGTCAAACAATCTATTAATTATTTGAAAAAAAATATAATAGTATCAATTTTATAATATTGCAAAATTAACAATAAACAATCAAAACAAACTAAGAATAACTTCATTTATCTATTCTTTTTTTGACTTGTTGTTGAAGTCAAATCAAATATATCGATCTTGATTTTATCACCATTTCCCTATTGTAATCGGCAGCCACCACCACTTGAATTAAAAATCAACATTCTTAATTGAGGCCTAGTGGTTTGTTCAATGAATGTGATCAAACATTCAACACATGTTGTTTTGTATTTTCCAAACACTTGATGAAGACGTTTGACTTTGAAAATAAATAATGAACCATGAAATCATATGAACTCTTTCAAAATAAGATTTTCAAAACTTCATTTTATTCTAATTTGATTACTTTACTTGTATGTAAAACAATTATCAAAGATGTGAATTAATTCTTACCTAAAACAGTAGTCAATAAACACGGTAAGAAGATTGGTATATCAAATAATATACTTATAGAATTTGTTGACTTAGAGGGGGGTCAAAACCCTGTTCCTCAAGAGTTGTTGTAGTAGAAGCGGCAAGTACCTCTGGTGCAGGAATAGTACTGGAAGCTTCATCTAGTTGACATTTAGGAAAGGATTAATTTAAATATACACGATCCATTACATAATAGATTACACCTCCCTCACATGGAGGGGGCCCACACACAATAAAATATTCGTGGCCCCCCTCCGATGGAGGGGGTGTAATCTATTAGGTAACGAATTGAGTGTACATCTAGCACAACCCGAAAATGAAATTTAGGGTTGCCACCTTCCACGCCTCCTTTATGCGCCTCTCGGCTCTCTCTCAATAACTAAATCTTCTCCAACACTGCGAATAAACATAAAATCATTAGCAAATTTTTGAATACGAAGGAAGATTTGTGCTACCTGATTTTAAAAAACTTTGAGTTGTCTCTCAATATCATCTAGATGTCTGATTGATCAGTAAGCAACACGTGGCGCGGAACATGGAGATTTAGGCAAATTTAGTAATGCCCATGGTTGGCATATAAGTGAAAAATATATCTGCTTCCATTGAAGATACTCCAAGATAAGCCAATAAGTGGTGTATAAGACTTAAGTGGTGGATAAGACTGGGATTGGGTAGATTTTACTGCTTGGCCTTCCTTGGCCCTTCATATACGATTCTGTCAAAAATCATTTTCACCAAGTCTAGAGCAATTTTGAACCCAGTTTGTACAGAACAACAACTCGTTCATGAGATAGGTCAGATCTGTGTGTCAAAGGGTCAATATTGTGGATCAAAATCTTGTGAAAGAACTCGTATTTGGTAGAAATTTAGAGGCTGGCCGGTTTGTCAACTCTGTGAGGCCAATTCATGCCCGTCATCTCTATGGCTACCTCATCATTTGTCAACCTCTCATCAGTAGACTCCATCACTTCTCCCAATCATAGACAGTCTCAACATTGAAGGACTAAAGGTAACTAGTTTGCCCCTGATGTAGGTCTGCCACCTAAATGGATTTCCAACCTTTCCCAACCTTTTGCTTTCTTGTCTCCTCCCTAGTGGCTCTTCTCCTAGGTGGAAGGATGGACTTAGATGCGTCATCAGTATTTTTTCTGAAAGCTTGAAATTGAGAACTTGATTTTTTGGGCCTCTGGTTTTGCAGTAGCTTGCACTTCCTCAACAGGAGGTCCGTCTGTGGCATGAACTCCCTCTACTAAGTCAGGACTGACCCTCCATTCTTCAGTTGCTCAATTTGTTCTTCATTATCACTAGTCCCATGATACTGGCCTGTTCCTTCCTTAGTGTCATCACTCTTAGACACATTTTCCCTCAGTCTCATCACTCTTGTTATCACCAACAGTTACCTTATGGCATGGGCAGTTGATTGGGTCGTTTGGCTATGTGAGTAGACGAGCTACATTAAGATGACTGTTCTCCTCTGAGGACACATGCTCTGGAGTTTCTGCAGGGGTCCATGGACCATCATTGCCCTTAACATGTATATCCTAGATTGAATGAGCTCAAATATTGGTTGGGCAGCAGCAATGTTGGTCTGATTGCCCACCGTGCCTCTGCCGGTAGTGGTGCTTTCAGAGGTTTCGCCTTTACCTTTCTTTTCCTTGTTCATCCTAGTTTTCACCACGTTTTCTGTAGAAAATAGATTGAAATGGAGAGTAAATAGATCAAATGCAGAGATAACTTTTGAGAGAAATCAGTAGAAGATGAAGACTGTATTTGCCCCAACAGCGTGATTCAAAAATGGAAAAATCCTTCAAATTTGAAAAAATGCACATAGGTAGTTACTGCAATTAAGAAACATGCATGAGTAGCTCTTTAATAACTGCCCACTATCTTTAAAGTTACCTTTTCGCCTCCTCCATATTAAATTCAATCACGTGCAAAATAACTCCAATTAAGGCAAAGTAGTTCTTTCAAATTTGGTCCAGATTTTATTTCGAGCAATGCTATTCATCTCTACTGGGATTACAAATACAGTTTAGGTAGCTCTAAATGATAGATTAAATGAAAGGTGAAACATTACTCTTTTATTTCTAATGTTTGAAAATCAATCTCTCTCTATTTCATGCCAGTGAGATATTAGTGACCTATTTAAATTGTTGATATGAAGTTTTGCAAAAATGCCCACACGAGTTAATCGCACAAAAATAGTGAAATTAACACAATCTTTATATTTTTGGGCAAATAGTTCAAAATTATTAAGATAATCATGAATCTTCGAATTAGATGTCTGCACATTTAAATTCAATTAATTTCTCATATTAGAGTGCGAGTGTATGATTGATCCATCAAGAACATGTATATATTATTTTTTTCGGTATTACCTTGAGTGCTTACTGTGTTGACTTTATTATTGTTATTATTTTTTAAAAGCACTTTCTTTTGAATTCATGTAGTTGACTTTCATACCGCCATCAATGTCGCTATTTTCTCAAGATTTATGTTCATTATTAATGACGACTTCACATACTTATGGTGATAGCCGTCTCATTCAATGAACTTGTCTGATAACACAACATCATATTGTAGTATAAAGAGACAGATACTAATCATGTGTCCACATCTAAGTATTTGTCATCTTAAATATGACAACCTAGTCAGTAGATGAGCATAATTAGACTAGTCACGTATCCTAAAGGTGCATTTGTTTGATTACAATTTACCATAAGATATACTGAGCACACCAAACTAATTGGATAATTCAATTTCACCCCAATAATTATAAGCTAATCAGAAATTCACATCACGTTACATTTGCAAGAAAAATCTCATTACACACACACATGGCAAAATATGCATGCACACAAGATGAGTAGGCACGTGGGCCACGACATAGATTGTGTTAGCAACGATGATTTCACTTGCCATTTTTTTAGAGAGAAATTTAGAGACGAGATTTCTCACAATTTTGATGTGTAACCAACTATTCAATACGAATTAAGTAGAAAATCGAAACCAAAAGTTTGTTGTTATAATTCTCATCCACATTTTATTTTCATTTTTATTTCTTTTCCAACAAAAATAGTCACTTACTTTGAAAAGTATGCCCTTGTTTCACCCTCATTAAAATTATAATTTATTTTTCTCACTCTTCTTATCAACCACACATTCTCTAATAAAATAATATTATGTGTAAACCAAAATTTTTTTCTTCTTTTTTAACAATAAATTCTTCAAAAAAATATTATTTCAAAAATTGTTATCAAAATAACTCTTCAAAGCATGTAACTTATTTTTAATTTTAAGCTAGAAGGAAAAGATATACCATAAATTAATTTCGAATATTCCAGTTTTAGTTGTTGTTTACCACAATAACAAGAAAACTTCAGGAGAAATTCTTTGTACTCATTTTCAATAATGTTGTAGGAAGATGTGGCTTTGATAAAGAAAGTGGGTTTGGATTCTTATCGATTTTCAATTGCATGGACGAGAATATTGCCAGGTATGTTTGTCCGTGTATATAGATATCGTACATCATTTTATGTCAAAAATAATTATCAATTTACTATTTGTGATTTAAATTGATATTTTAGGGGGACGATTAAGTGCTGGAGTAAACAGAGAAGGAATTAACTACTATAATAATCTCATAAACTTACTCCTGGCTGAAGGTGTGTTTATCTATAACAATTGCTGTTTTGTTTCTGTTTGTTTCACAAGTCAAACATTAAAATTAATATGATTTTATTTGGAACCAGAATTAAAACGATAAAAACTATTTACCTTTTATTCTTGTAAACTTTGCATGCAGACATTACACCTTGTGCAACTATTTTTCACTGGGATGTTCCCCAATGTTTGGAAGACGAGTATGGTGGCTTCTTAAGCCCTCAAATTGTGTAAGTAATTCACTGCTGCGTAACTAGGCACATTTATTTGGGAGTTTTCAATAAAAGAAAGCAAATTCAAAAATAAGGACATTTATTCAGAAAGAATATTGAGGACACCCCTTTTGAGAAATTGGATTTCTATATTATCAAGTTCAGGCCTTGTACGAAAATTGAGCCCATGTTTGGTGCTCATATTGGATTTCTATATTATCAACTTTGATCCTTTTTCAATTCATTTTTCAACCAAAACATGACGCAACGTCAGAATTCGGGTTATATGTTCAGTAGTGTGCTTGTGTGGTTGAAAATGATCTTGTAACAACCAAAGGTTTAAAACAATGGGCACCAAACAGGGTCTCAGTAAACTAATGTTGCAATTAAAAGGTATTTACAATGTGAACCATATTTTCATACTTCTTTATATATTATAGGGAGGATTTTTCTGATTTTGCTGAGGTTTGCTTCTGGGAATTCGGTGATCGTGTTAAACTTTGGATCACATTGAATGAGCCATGGAGCTTTTCTGTATCCGGATATGCGTTAGGTATTTTTGCACCTGGCCGAGGTCCAACACAAGATGACCCTGTAACAAATGTTGTCCGTCATAGATGCAACATTCAGAATCCAGTTATTTGCAGCGAAGGAAATCCAGGCACAGAACCGTATATTGTTGGACATCATTTGCTCCTTTCTCATGCAGCAGCAGTTGATATATACAGGAAAAACTTTCAGGTTGTCATTTTTAACATTATGCAATAAATTCTTTTCATTTTTGAGATTTCGTAATAGTTTATGCAAATACATTTGTACAGAAACTTCAAGGAGGCAAGATCGGAATCACAAATGTCACAGAATGGTATGAGCCACTCAATAACACAACAGCTGATAAAGAGGCTGCTTCAAGGGCAGTTGATTTTGCGTTGGGATGGTAAGTCGATCACCCAGTTTCCCTATAATGATTGATCATTCTTATTCACGAGAAGACAGAAAATATAAGTAGCAATAACATGTTGTCGAGCAGCCGAAGTGCATAATTACCTACCTGATTGAGCAATATTCACAATAAGGGGCTGGCTTTTGCTGCTTATTATTTTAGAACTCTTTTAATTAGATCTTTTAGTTAGGATTCTTTCATCATTTAGACATTAGAGTTACTTCATAAGATTTGCTATTTATGTACAGTTAGAACTTTGTTATTTCTTGGTTGTTTTATGTATAAAAAATTGTGATTTACTTAATTGCTTCAAATTATTCAGTATTCATAGATTCTCAACGAATACTTGATGTCCAAATCCTCGATATTCTAGTGAATCAACTAGTTTATTGAGTGTCAATCATATTCCATATTTGCATTCACTTAGTTATACTCAGTTTGGGGGTTACATAAGTTATCAAACTAATGGAGACCCAGTTCATCAACCTAATCTAGAGATGGAACGTAGAGCAGCCCAATTAAAGATAGCCAGTGAGACCTACTCCTACTCAGAGCATTAGTACCATTCACAAGAGTCGACGAAAGAGGCTAATTGCAGTACCATGGACCTGGGAGCAGACTAGATAGGATACTTCATATGAAGCGGATTCCCCGGTGTCTGTGTATGCATCTTCGGATTTGGCCACCTATTAGTTACACACCTCCGTCCAAAAGCCATCTCTAAGGGCAAAGCGCTTTTTTCTATTCGCCGACAAGTTTATCATGAAGCCTAAGTACTTAATTAGTTTGGGGGTGGGGAGAAAACTTGAATTCGATTAAAAACTCTATTTAGTTGGTTAGTCTTTTGTGCTTGATTTTATGAAAGTTTAGTAATCAATNTATCAAACTAATGGAGACCCAGTTCATCAACCTTATCTAGAGATGGAACGTAGAGCAGCCGAATTAAAGATAGCCAGTGAGACCTACTCCTACTCAGAGCATTAGTACCATTCACAAGAGTCGACGAAAGAGGCTAATTGCAGTACCATGGACCTGGGAGCAGACTAGATAGGATACTTCATATGAAGCGGATTCCCCAGTGTCTGTGTATGCATCTTCGGATTCGGCACCTATTAGTTACACACCTCCGTCCAAAAGCCATCTCTAAGAGCAAAGCGCTTTTTTCTATTCGCCAACGAGTTTATCATGAAGCCTAAGTACTTAATTAGTTTGGGGGTGGGGAGAAAACTTGAATTCGATTAAAAACTCTATTTAGTTGGTTAGTCTTTTGTGCTTGATTTTATGAAAGTTTAGTAATCAATAATGCAGAATCAAGTTTAGTAATCAATTCTGTAAAACGGCTCCTAATTTAGAATTTTTCTTCCTGGTCACAAGTCTCATCATGTTTCTGTGCTTTTTCAGGTTTGTAGCGCCCGTGGTTACTGGCGATTACCCACCAGTTATGAGACAATCAGTAGGAGATCGCCTTCCCAAATTTACACCAGAACAGGTTACTCTGGTGAAGGGATCCTATGACTTTTTAGGAATAAACTATTACACTACTCATTATGCAACCAATGCACCCAAGACACCTGGTGCAAAACCAAGTTACCTTACCGATCAGGAAGCTCAAACATCAAGTAAGTATAAGATCTTTTTCATGTAAATGATAACATCATAGACTTTATATGTCATTACACTCTTGTAATATGGTTCTCACTCTCTCAATACTTTGCAGCTGAACGTAATGGGACGCCAATTGGTGAAAAAGTACGTTTTCCACTTTTCCCTTGCCTCAGAAATAAACAAAAAATAGATGAGATAATTCCAACAGTTTATGCTTCAACATTTTCATACGTAGGAGAGATTTCAATGATTTGTTCGAGTGCATCATCGTGTAAAAATAGGATTCTCGATGAATTATATTACTAACTAAGCCATAACATAATAATGCTTGTAAACATGTTTCTAATATAATTTTAATGTTCTTGATTTTGTCAGGCTGGTTCGAGTTGGTTGTACATTTATCCAGAAGGAATTTACAAGCTCTTGGTTCATTTGAAAGAAAGATACAATAATCCCATCATTTACATCACCGAGAATGGTAAATTCATGGCTTATTGTTAAGACTTTTTCTACAGCTAAACAATTTTTCCTCTTTATCAATACTAATTAATGGATGATTTTTGTGCAGGAGTGAACGAATTGAACGATAAACCAACAGTTTCAGAAGCTCGATTTGATGATTTGAGGGTTAAAACTCACCACGACCACCTTGTCCAAATTAAAAGAGCGTTGGAGTAAGTCATCATTCTATAACTATCGAATCAACCCAAATAGTAAGTTGTGAAATTAATTGACTATTCTCATAACAAAATGAATGCTCACAATTTCACTTTCATCATCAGCTATGGTGTTCGTGTGAAGGCTTATTATTTATGGTCAATGTTCGACAATTTTGAATGGGCTGATGGGTACACTGTTAGATTTGGCATTATGCATGTAGATTTTGAGAATAATCAACTGAAAAGGTTCCCGAAAAGCTCTGCTGTATGGTGGACAAATTTCTTGAACGTGAAGAAGGTCAAGAAGCAGGTCAAGAACAAGAACAAGAAACGCTTCCTTTTGTTCTAAAATGTTATGTTGAATAATGCATATATTGATACATTCTTACAAATAAGATTGATTCGTCGTCATTGCTAGGATTGTTATATAAAAATTTATTGGTAAATGAAAATATTGAACAACATTTATGTTTACAGAAGTGTAAGAACATTTTCAAAAGATTCTTTAAATACAATATACTCTTGTTGCAAATTATTGGGCTGTTGACTGCTATTTTCATTTTTCGTGTGTATATGTGTTGTCTTAAATTATATACCATAATGTTCACAACTGTACGTTGACACATATATACACCTGCCATCTTTGCTGTTTCACGGGTACTAATGTATATGTTGTCATCAATTGTAAAACCATAGGTTGTGGTGTATATATTTGATAATGGTACTTAATCTATGCTCAACACCGACACATCGATTAATTAATAAATAAATTTATATATATCCAAAAAATTAAATTATTTATCAAATAATTGATTTGACATATCATTGGTGCTTTATATAAGTTAAGCACTTGTCTTCAGTATATATAAATTCAATAGTAGATAAATTTATGGTGAGCCTCAACATTTGAATAAATTTAAAATTTACAAATTGATTTATATTACAAGTCATCGATACTTAATATAAAATGAGCATACACTACAACAAATTTAGTTTTTTATGTCATGCATTGTATCGTAAAAAGTTATTTACGACGTACGACTGGATGCTATATAAAGCAATGCTGTAAAAAGTAACACCTTATGGCATGCAAATGAACACCATAAACAGGGGCAGAGTCACGAAAGTAACTTAGCGTGGGCACAATTTACCGATGTTGAACGTCGAATTTTTGGCTATGGATTTAATGATGACAAAAATATAAAACAATATTACAACAATACTAATAATGACATACTTTATAAATTACACT